ATCATCATCATCATCATCATCATCATCATCATCATCACCGACCATCCACTTAATCTTTCGGTTATCTGCTAATACTCACAGTCTTCAGTTAATAACATGGCCTTTTTGAACTCTATAGTCCCTCGACTTGAGCCTGGGTTCTGGCCATTAATCTCTCATTGTAGTTGAGCACTTACTCCTGTCATTTGTCACTCAAAAGCATGTGGTGGTGCTCAAACCCTCTTTCCAATTACAAGTAGGGAGGATAGGTGACTGCCAGGTGGTGCTTTTGTTGTGGCCCTTTAGCCTGTAATAGAGCTAATGGTGCCCTCTGTGGTCCTCCTGTCACAGTCACATTCAAACTCCTTTTGGGCAGGGAGAGGTCTGGGAAGGAATGGTGTATTGAAAGTGATATAAGGTATAAGGGATAAACCACACTATGTTACGACACTAAAGTGAACATTATTTATTTATTTGACATAATAAAAGTCTAGCAGGAAATCCCAATTACAGGACTATATAAAACTCGTATTCATCAACATTGTGGCAAATGTTGTGGCATTGTAGACAAATATAGAAATACAATTATGAAGATAGAACTGAAGAACAAATTACAATACTATATACAACTAGGGTTACCATATTTCCATTATGGAAAAAGAGGACACTTAATATAAACATTTTTAATGCAATTTTTTTTTTTTTCTTTAGACAAAATACCTACAACTAACAAAATAAATATTTCAATCATTGTTATCACTTTCACAATCACACAATAGACCTACATCATTATCATAATTATCTTTTTCACTTTTATACCAGAAGTATTTGGTGGATGATAAAATCTCTCTCAACAAGGCGAGCTGGCTTTTTGGCATCATGCTCGAAATAAAATCACCGCAGATATTAACTCCATAGATCAGCAGAACAGTAGTAACAGGACTGTGCACAGAATCAATACCCAGAACCACAATATGTTGTATCAGAACGTGCCAATTTTGGGCCCGGGACAATGCTGAAACATAGCCCCCCACCCCTGGAAAAAAATTTAAAATGTTAAATTTGTCTTAAGAAAATATGAGGTGTTATATTTCAACAAATAATAATAGTTACAACATTTAAAGTAGACTAAGATTTGGGAAACATATTTTAAATAATAGTTTTATGTAAATGTATTTAGTGATCAAATAATACAGTTTCCACAGAGATATTAAAATGCTAATAAATGTTGTGTTTAATTAGTGTTTAACAAAAACACTTCTTTTTAAACACATGAAATAATAATAATAATAATAATAATAATAATAATAATAATAATAATAATGATTTATTTTCAAAAGAATTACATTGACAATGTACAAAAACCATCACCATAAAAACAATAAGAAAGTATACCAATTTTGTTAGACTACTTTACATACATTATACGCCCTGTTTAACCTTTCAGTAAAAATGCTAGTCGTATCAGATTTAAATTTAAATATATTTATTACAATTATTTTATCTCATTCAGTACACTTCAAATCCTCTCTAAGTACTTTATGTACTTGTCAGAGAGGGGTGTGTTACATTGTACTTTTGTTTTGTTTTTCTTTTTTGTATTACCATTGTTGATTATAGTTCACCCATCATCAGTATGGTTTGCCAGTTACTGTATGATGCGTGAATTGTTTTTATTGGAATTAAGATTTTTTTCCAATGAAACTCAACAGGCAAAAATAAATCAAAATCATCAAATTATCTAAAATAGCAAATAAATTGTAAATAAATAAAGAGATGTCAGTTGGCAACAGGCTAAGATGAAAACTAAGTTATACTTAATTACCATTTTGAAAATTAGTAGTGACAAATCAACAAGCAAAGCGAAATAAACTTATCTAAATTAACAAATCAATAAACGAATAGAACTTATATGCCAAATGGCAGCTGGCATTAACTTCAGTTAATCTCAGTTGCCATTTGGCATATGTTAACAATAATTATTATTATTATTATTATTATTATTATTATTATTATTATTAATATTACTATTATTATTAGTGGAACCTATTTTAATGTTATTGTAATATTTTTTATTCATTTCAGTGTGTCCTACCTTTATACATAATAATTTTAATTAAATATTTAAAGTAAAAAATTAATTGAAAGTTTCTTAAATATCAGACTACTGCACCGTGACTTATAAAATACAGTAACATTTTTCTTGAGTTCTAATTTCTTTTTCAATTGTTTACTATTTTGTTCAATCGGTCCCATCATCTGACTCTGGGCGATCGCCTGGTCTGCCCAGGCCTAGCATCGGCACTGGTACTAGCTAATGTCGCATTTCATGAAGTAATGGATATTTCTAAGAGTATAATGAGTAGTTGATTTATGGATTTTTGCAGTTGGGTGGCATGTTGGGTGAAGTTCAATGCTATTTATTTATGTAAATGTTATGATGTCGGGAACATGAATAGGTTGGAAAAAGCTCAGTATCCTTCACAGGTCATTTAAGTTGGATTTAAAAGTAATCTAATTAAAAAAGGACATTTTAACCTTTTATAATTTACAATTTAAATCTGGCAACATTATGGCGGCAACAATAACTAAAATAACAACATTATAGGTAGGATTCAAACTTGCAGACCCTGCAGGCTGCTGCATACCACTATGCAAATAATGTACTGATTTCTGTGTTTTCTAATTTTCCTTAAACATACCTATTCCTTTTGTTATTCTCAAATTGTTTCTCTTTTCAGGTGCCAGTTGTGTGGTGCCCATCAATGATATTAGAGGAGTAGAAAGTATGGGTTATGCTAAAGGTGAAAAGATTCTCCGTTGCAAGCTTGCGGCTGTCTATAGATTGATGGATTTATATGGTTGGTCACAAGGAGTGTATAATCATATAACTGTAAGTGAAATTATGTGTGTTATGTGAAATTTGAGAAATAAAGTAGTTGTTTCGTTGATGTATTGAAAAAGTTGCTCACTTATTTTCACTTATTTTCTGGTTTGGTTATAAATAATTTGACTGAGTTTCGAAAAGATCTAATTGTAAAATTAGAAAAGATTGTTTAAGCTTATGTTCATAATGCATTGTTTGAACTTATTGAATATGATAATATACTTACTTCATCCCAAATGGTGAACTGGCTGAAATATGCTCATGGCATCAACTGATGTCATGGCAGTGCCTCTGACCAGAAAGTCCTAGGGCTTGAGTCGAAACACTTGCAGGATTTTCAACACTAGCTGGATAGCTAGGTCAAATTCAGCTGCTGGGTGGAGGAGGCGTTTTAGAACCTGGCCACTCTAATCAGTAGTTTTTCATAGTTTATCCAATCAACATGAAGCTAATGCCAGATCACAACATTAACAAATGGGCCAAGGACCACATATGGATCTTTCCTTTCTCTTTCCTGTTCTATCCTTACTCCTTTCTCGTTACTTACACGTACTTACATGTACTACACTAGCACTCATCTTGGGAACCAGTCAGGATCTTCGAGCTTGTTCTGGCTGGGGCAGAGCTCTGCTGGTGGGAGATACCTGTTTGGGGAAACCCTGCAAGTTGTGTAGATAGGCACTGTATTTCACCATTGGGCATGGGGGAAGAACACTTTCCCCCTTGATAAAAACATGTACCATGCTAACAGGTCTAATTACAATAATTGTTAACTCAATGTAAAATACAATTAAATAAACAAACCCAGATGAAAGATGTCAGTTAATTTTTACTTTCCTGTATACGTATGTATATATGAAGTAATATGCTTAGTATTGGGAAAGTTATGTAATGCTGCGGAAAATAGATTTCCTGATTTCCCTGGAACCACACGTGTTGGGATACTCTCATAAAGTTGGTTGTTGTTGTTGTTGTTGTTGTGTGTGTGGGTTTTTTTCTTCTCCCCCTCTCTTTCTCTCTCTCTCTTCTCTATCTATCTATCTTTCTTCTTTTCTTTTTTTCCCCTCCAAAATGCCAGACGCCCAAACCACACATTGGATTTTTTCCAAATTGAAGAATCCGGTGGTTATCAAATCTTTTGAGATTTTGAGAAAAATCTTTAAAATGGGGAGATACTTTTCATGAAGCCCCCCAGATATTTTCAAAATTTTCTCAAAAAACGGCTCAAAATATTTTCTTTTAATGTCTTGTGAGAATAAAGTACACTTATAAAGGTGCCATAAGTCCAACTTTCACGTTTAACTCTGAATTTTCAAAAATTACAAAAGTATTAGTTTTTCTGTGTTGTCCTAAAATTATAAAATTGAAGATAGATTTTCCTTCTAATAAAATTTGTTCTCCACAGTGAGTTCTTTCCTTAGTCATGTACTTTTTGAAAACTTTAGTAGTTTTCATGCAATAGTGCTTGCAATGTGTAAAACTCTAAAAAATTACATAAACATGATTTTCTCAAGAACGGGTTCAATTTTGTCTTTAAACATTTGGTAGAGATAGTGCTAAATGTACTCTGTAAGATGAGATAAAAGCCATATTGCTCTATTCTTTTGTTTTTTCAAAAAATACAAAAAAGTAATATCTTTGACTTGCCTCTCATGTCGTTAATATTTATATTAGCGACAATTTATTCACATTACAGTATTGATGAGAACATGTGCTTTAAATAATGACATATAGCTTCACAAAAACTCAAGTCTTTGTGAAAATTAGCTCAAAACTCAGCATTTTCAGAAATGCGCAAACTATATACTCCAAAGTGGCTCCAAAATTTTTTTAACACTTTTAATGGATAGTATTGTTATTAATTTTTTTCTTATTCTTCTTCTTTCTTCCTTCTTCTTCTTCCTTCTTCTTTCTTCCTTCTTCTTTCTTCCTTCTTCTTCTTCTTCTTCTTTCTTCCTTCTTCTTCTTCTTCTTCTTTCTTCTTCCTTCTTCTTCTTCTTTCTTCGCTTCTTCTTCTTCTTCTTCTTCTTCTTCTTTTTTCTTATCTTTTCTTTCTTTCTTTCCTTTTTCTTTCTTTCTTTCTTTCTTCCTCTTCTTTTTCTTTCTTATCCTTCCCTTTATTCTTCCTTTCCTTCCTTTCTTTTTTCTCCTCTTTCTTTCTTTCTTTCTTCGCTTTCTTTCATATCTCTGAGTCTTTTCTTTCTTTTTGTCTTCTTCTTTCTTTTCTGTCTTACTTCTTTCTTTCTTTCTTTTGTCTTCCATATCTTTCTTTCCTCCTCTCCCTGCTTTCTTCGCTCCATAGATTACATAAGTCTCGTTTTGTTGATATGCACATTTCCAGCAATTTGTAAACACTATTGAATTTGTGAGTTATAGTACTTAAAATGACTTCAAATCAAGTTTTTCAAAAACTAAAATTTTCTCAAAAAAAGAGCTAAAAATTTCGAATTTTCAGTAGCCCCTAAACACCAGTTTTTTAAAAACTGCTCCAAATTTTTCAAAGAAAATTGCCATTTAGGATGAGGTTTTACTATTCTTTAATAATCTTAAAATAAATTTTTGCTTTACTATTAATAAACTGAAAAATTAGTAAAATGTTAAAAAAATGAAATTTGAGCAGCGATAGATGGCAGCAGGTAAGAATGTGTCCTGTTCGAATATCTAACCGAGACCAAAGGAAATAGAAAATTAATCCAGGATAGTCTGTGCCATTCTGTAGCTCCAGGAGTTTATTATATTAAGTGATATAAGTATATTAAGTAAGTTTATTAAATGATGTAAGCATGTATGTGCATTAAGTATATTAAGTCTTCCTAAAGATTCTAAAATAATTGTGAACTTTTTGTTAAAAGAAAGACCTGTTGAATGTCACAAAAATATATTTGCAGAGATTCACTTACTTTTTGATTAACTTTTTTAAATTTAACCAACAATTTGTAATGTAACCAAATGAATAAACCAAAAACAAGTAAATCAAAATTACATGTATGTAATTTTACAAATAATTAATTTTTTGTTACATTTTAATTAGACATTTTATGATATGATAACTTATTTATTTAGGCCCGTCTGAACCAAGATCAGGAGCATTTCCTTGTGAATCCTTTTGGAATGCTCTACCATGAAATCACTGCATCGAGTCTTGTAAAGATCGATATGCAAGGAAACATCGTGGAAGCTGGCACTACTAACTTTGGAGTAAATGTAACTGGCTTTCTTCTGCATGCAGCTATCCATGCTGCACGACCTGACATAAAGTGTATTATCCATGTTCATACTCCATCAGTCCTTGCTGTAAGTGAAAGTTGCATTGCGACGTGGTCTAGCTGTGTATAGATAGAACAGTGCTCATAATGAAATTGTGGTGCTAGGTATCCTCTTTGAAGTGTGGACTCCTGCCACTTTGCCAAGAAGCTGTTGTAGTAGGAGAAATAAGTCAGCATCCTTACTTGGGAGGCCTTGCAGAACCTGAAGAACGAGAGAAAATTGCACGAAATCTTGGTCCTCTGAATAAGGTTGGTGGTGTTTGATTATTATTATTATTATTATTATTTTCTCTCTCTGTTTAATGTTGTGTTATGAGTAGAAATGGGGTTTTATGTAATTATGTATTTTTGTGTTTGTCTATGTTCTGTTCTCAGCTGTAGTCTTAGCGATTCGTCACCATCCTAATACAATATCAAATTTTTTCATTGAATATTTTGACATATTTAGTACTACATGACGTATTTAGTTATTTTCACAAAATATTTTTTCTTTCTTAAATTTTCGTCTGTAGTAGATTTTTTTTTCATAATATATTCCTACAATATTACTGAGTGCTGTCAAATAGTGTGTGTGTTACATAAAGATGCCGTCGGATGTTCTTACAGTCTAGTGCACCTGCTTCCTCTATCAGTGGTGGGTAGTGCACGTCAGCATCCGGGATTGTTTTCACCTTTCTGTCTGAAAAGTATCACTGATGCTGTCTTTCATTATCTTCAACCTTAATTTCCTAGAAACTTCAGCCTTTGCCAACATGTAAAGCTTTGATGAGATTGCTGCATGTTGCAGTGATTGTTTGCTGGTCGTAGATATACCCAGTTTGTATGAGGAATTCTATTGCAGCTTATCTGGCTGCTAAACTATCGTTTTGAATAGCAATAGATGAAGCTTTTATTACTAATAAGAAAGTTATATGGTGCAAAGTATGCACCACCTTGTGCTTTTCAAATGATTTTCAAACGTTTCGCATTATTTTTAAAATTTAAGTAATTTTTGATAAATGTAATTTTATATTAGGTAAATGTGTATTTTGAATTGTAAAAGAGATTTTGAGTTTTCATATTACATATTTTTGCAGCCTCTAGTTATGGGTAAGGTTCCAAAGTTAATGCTCAATAAAAAGGAGAAGCAAAATTTGTAAAATGTGCACCAGAACAAATGAAGTATGCTCTAAGTTTTATGTATTCAGGAACAATTACAATATTGTCAACAATTATATAGTTAACTTGGTTTTTATGCAGCATTAGAACAGAGAAAACTAATTCTTCTTCTTTCTATTTGTCTTTATTTCTGAAAAAGAAATAAAAGAAATGGAAACAAAAAGACAATATTTATAAAAAAAGCAATTCGTAAAATGTTACCTTAATTCAAAGTTGAAAGATGCTACAAATGTCATCTGCAAGTCATCCATGGTGTTGCGTGTTGTCTACTAGCAGAGTTTTGTAGTGAGAGAGAGAGAGTGAGATAGCTCTTACATTGCATGATGTAATCGGGCAACACTTGAAATATATTGCATCCTCGGGTGTCAAATTGTGCTCTGTATCACTCAATTTTGAAATTTTGTCTCCACTTAGTATTCCAGCAATAATTTTTAAAGCAAAATATCTGGAAAAAATTTTTCTAGCAGATTGCTGAATTTGTTTACAACTGTTTTTGAAATTGAACACTAAGCTCTTTTCAAGATATTTTCTATTTCTTCTGGTAATTAAAGGTAGTCCCATAATTGCATTTCTCTTTCCTGTATCTGAGAAATTTTCTTTGTTAACATTCCAAAATTGGAAGAAATGTAGCTCAAATTTTCCTTTAATGAGAAAGTATTTACTAATTATTTCACTTGGATGGATGCACTGTATTCATCATTGAATGTCTCAATCACTGGCATCACAGAAAGAAAATTTTGACTGTAGTATAAAACTGTATCAAGGCATGAACCCCATCTTGTTACTACTGGCTTTGGTGGAAGAGGGATAGGAAGAGCAACTTTTTTGAAAATTTGGCACCTGGATGGTCGCTGAAGAAGAACTTTTTTCGTATTTGAAATAAACTAAACATAATCAACTTCAGAATAATTGGCTCAGAGTTCATCACAAACTCAATTAATAGCATGTGCTAGGCATGTGAGGCGCACCATTTTTGGATAGAGTATTTGTAGTCCCGACACAGCCTTAACTGGTGTATGGAGCAGCATCTGTCACGCAAAGCAAAATCCTGTGTCACTGAAGTCCTCTGGGAAAGAAAGTTTGCGTAGCATTTTCAGAACTTTGTTATTGTTGAATGGTGTGTTTTTTGCTACTCCTATATTAAATAAAGACAATTGTACTGCCTTTTTTCTTTTGAAACATCCACTATTATTGTGACAACATATCAACCACGTGAATGGGTTGTTTCATCCGTAGAATGCCACAATGTTTTGCCCTTAACTGCATTTGCAATTTTTGCAACAGTTTGATCATACAAATCGCTGATGTAAGTTTTCGAAGTGTCTGTTCATTTGGGACAAATTTGTCACAATATTTTTCTATAGCTTAAGGTGAGGATTGCTCAGTTTAGACAGAGGAACATCTCTGAAAATTTGGCTTCTGGATGGTGACTTAAGAAAACTTTCATATTTGAAATAAATCTATTTCTGGACTCATTATTTCTTATTCTTCCCGGACACCTTATTTTTGTGCATTACTGTTTCTAAATGTTGATTAACCAAGAATCTTTCCAAATTTCTGACTATAGTTTCACAACATTTACAAAATTAAGTTATCATCTATTGAGAAAATGTAACTACTAAACTCGTTTACAAAATCTTTTGATTTTGCTACTTTACTCCATTTAACTGATGTCATTCACCAAAAAAATTCTTTCTTCTTAAAACCACGAACTTGACTAATTGAGTTCACAATAGCTCTTTGACTGATCTAGCTTCAGACTATTGGAATTTGATTGTTGTTTTTCTTGAAACATGACACACATCTCAACTTGCAGTCTAGTGTGAAACAATTTTATTAACACCGATTTTCCATCTTCTTAGATTTCATCTGTGTCATCAAAGTGTCATTTCCAGTGCCACAAATTCTTTATCGGTGATAAATTATCTTACCATTCATATTTGGAGAAATCATTTTCAGATTCCATCCTTACGATATCTAGAAAAAATTAAAGCAAATTCTGCTGCAATGAACGAAAGGCATTCCTGTGATTTCTCTTGAATGACATTCACATACACCTTTATGAAGTATATTTTTTGTTTTGAGGAGACAAATGTGCTCATTAATTGAAGTTCCAAGAGAAATATGCCGTAATAAGAACAAGAAAGCAATAAAATATGAATTATAATTTAAATATGATGCATTAACACAAAATGCACGAATATGCTAAATAAAATCTTCGAATTTCAGTTTATTTGATTGTGTCTTGTGGACATTTAATAATTATATTATAGAACTCGTAACAAAAAAGATTTTTCATAAACGTCGGGGCCTTAGTTATTAGTCTATTCCTGTCCTTTGGCGATTGCATGTTTCCCCTTATAAGCACCCAATCTGTATTAACATTTAAGACATTGAGGGGTGGGACAAAAAATTAGCAGTTATCTATAGTTAAGAATGACATTATTATGAATTACATATCTAATATATTATTCTTTCAGTAATGAAATATATTTATTTTGTGCAGGTTATGTTCCTGACCAACCATGGAGTTGTCTGCTGTGGAGAGACGGTGGAGGAAGCTTTCTTCAACGTGTATAACACTGTTCTTGCTTGTGAGACACAGGTACCAAAATAACTTGATTTGTTCAGGATGCAAGGCTTCTGGAATAGTAAGGAAATTGGAGTCGGCCATTGAAAAAGTTAACAATTCTTCATGCTAAATATATTAGAATGCTTGTAATGCATGAGGCCAATTTAATATACATTTTACGTTCCTATTTTTAGGAGCATCTGACTCCATCCCATCTCCAAATTAGGTTGAGAGCCTGTATTTTCTAAATGTTGTGCAACACGCAAAAACGTAACCCTGTTGTGAAGGGCTTATTCCCTCTACACTTTCATTTTTATACCATATGTATTCTAATGAAGAATACTTAATCATTAATTAAATTTATTTAAAAAACCCATAATTAACCCAAACCCAAGTTATTAAATTCCTTTTTCTGATATAAATTGCACCTCGCAGCACAAAATTCCTGCGTTCTATTCATGGATTCACTGGTAATACAAGGTCCTGTGTCAAAAAATTAAATGAAGAAATTTTCATTATAAAAACAGTCCTGGGATACAATTCAAAATTAATAAATAAACACAACAAGAAAATTAATTATTTCTAAAACAAATTTTTCTTGTGAATCCTGATAAAAACGAGTCCTTTATTTACATTCCCTTCATGGATAATGCTTACTTTTTGCGGTTTTTGGTTACACTGCAAAGAATTAAATGATATTCCTCACATCACCTTGTACAATCAAATTCATAAAGTTGGCAAGAATATATTAATAGATTGACTTCACCGCTTCGTAATTAAAACGCGAACAAAAGCATTAATTCACACCTCATCCAATTTTCCCTTCTAATCCATTTTTGATGTACAAAATGCCAACCTAATGCATTTAAAGAACAGTGCAGTAACTATAGTAAGCTTTAAATTTTAACACTGAAGGGGGGAGGATACTTAATCAATATCTAGGATTCCCAAAACATGCAGTCATGAAATATTGATATAGAGTTTTCTTTATAACATTACTTACTATAACAAAACAAAATTAAATTTCTTCCTTTCAATAGTTATGTGGAAAAAGGTTTTATTATCCCTGGGTTATAAGACTTGTAATTTCTATGTGGGAAATTGAAATAATAGAACTGGAAAAATTGGAAAGTTGGGGAATTAAATATTTTTTAAGCTGAAATAGTCCTGTTTGGCAGTATAACAGTACATACTTCAGTACATTTTGGGTAGGGAGAAAAATTCAATATTTGGGGTAAAAATATGCCACTGGTGGTCTTGGAGTTAAACTTGCAAAAAGAGTGTTTGAAATCTTCTAAGAGGAAAGTTTTTATTTAGTTAATGAGACATGCCCATATGTATAAATGTTCAGAATTACGAAATAAATTAGTATAGTCACATTTTACAAGCATGTATATTGAAATAATGGGTTTGAATGTTATCCAAAGGTGAAGTCAAAAGTGTACATTAAATTGCACATGAAGACTTGGAACAGAATAATTTGCTAGAATGTAATAACATTAAAGTACAAAATGAACAAGAGATACAAAAGTAAAAATATAACAATTGTTGAAAATTATGATGTATATAAATACTTTGTTTTTTCTACCAGTTTTATTTGTAGTTCATACATATTCCTAAGAGTTATATAAGAGACCATTCGTGATTTCTTCAAATACAATATCTTTAATATGATTGTGGTTATCCTTCACACAGTCAAATCGTTCAATGATGTTCCAATTTTCTGTTATTTGAAATATTGAATGAGTAAAATGAAGGAAAAGAAAGTTGATAAAACTATTGTACCCATTTTCAGATCAAGCTAATGCCAATGGGTGTAGACAACTTGGTCCTGGTATCAGATGAAGCTCGCAAACAGATCTATGAAGCTGCTCGTCGCCCACCTGACAGTGCAACAAAGCAACCTGACCCTGCAGATCTTCCTCCATCTGGAATAAAGAAGGAGAAGCAGTGGCGTGTTGGTGGTGTTGAATTTGAAGCATTAATGCGAATGTTGGATAATGCTGTGAGTTCTTCTGAAATTTCATATTTCTAGAGCCTTTTTGGTTATAGAGATTTTGAACCATACATGTACACATTAAAGAATTATTTACTCACTTTACTTCCAACATACACAACATGTATTTATTGTTCATATATTAGGGTTTCACAATTCTATCATTCATTGCATTATATGTACAATGACCATTTATAGTGCAACCCAATCAGGCTAGGCTACTGGCACCACATGCCCAAATGACAACAAGAAACAGAAAGATATTCGTCACTGAGAGGTAGAGCTTATAACAGCACAACTCACAGAATGCTATGTCTTGTGTTCAGTTTATTTTTTTAAAGTCTGATTTGAAAAAGGTTTCATTATATTGTAAATATTCAAGATTTCCCCTTGCTGACCTTGTTCAAAGAATTTGTTAATTTTGCCAAAAATGTCAGGTTGTAGAATACTGGCCATTCTGAGGCGATTGTAAGCTTTACTCTAGCATTGTTACACTAATTGCCCAATGTAATTTAATGTCAATCTGTTGTACCGTGTTTACCCAAATATAAAACAACAATTTTTCCTAAATATCTCATTCAAAAAGTATAGTGAACTTATATTTGCACATTAAGCCTATTTGGTTGGGTTCTGTTTTTACTTTGCCTTCACATGTCAAGAAACTGAAATGCAGACATAAGTTCATTGTAAAAGTGATAAAAACCATGTGGATGTGTTCTTGGCATCCTCTGTAAATTTGACAAAAGATTCAGACCAACGTTATTTATTTATCAGGCATCTAAAGAGAAAATCTCAAAAAATGTTAACAGCAAATTTTGTTATGCAATCAACAAGACCATACGGACTCTTACTTTGACAATGCAGTGCAATTCATATTTAACTCATATTATCGTGGCATTTAAACTCATTCATAATGCATAATATGAGCTTTTGTCTATTACACTTATCAGTATTTAAAATAAGGCAATTATTTGAACACCACACAACTTTTCGAGGGCATTTTGTAAACAAAGAACATCACTTGAATGCTAACTAGCTTCAAAATTTTACAATCATCTTCGAAAAATAGGAATTCTTCCTCATTATCAAGAACTAGATGTGAATCATTGATAAACATGATAAATAGCAAAGAACCCAGGTGTGAGCACTGAGATACCCCAGAAAAAAAAGTGAAAAAAGAGTTGGATATAGACTCTCTTAATTTCACACATTACCTGTCAAATACATAAACAACTGATCCAGTAACTTGTCAGTTGTTCCAAAAGACTTAAGTTTCTATAACAGTAACATGTAATTCACTGACTCAAATATTTTGCTAAAATCTGTATAGATGCTATCAACTTGCCAATTCTTTTCAAGTGGCTCCAAGACGTATTGAGTATAGTATACAAAATTCGCATCAATACTTCTTTTGCCTATAAAACCAAATTGTCTTTCAAACAAAAAAGGACAGATTAATGGTTTCAATTTATCAGAAACAATGGATTTGAAAAGTTTCATTGTAGTATTGAAATTGGACGGTAATTAAAAGTATTGCTACTGTCACTAGGCTTAAAGATTGTAACAATATAGGAAGATTTCCGTTCCTCAGGAAAATAGCCTTCCAGTAATGATCTGTTGAACAAATACTTTACAATTTTGGATGAAATTAAACTAGTGTTTCTGAGAAAATCTGATGGGATTCCTTCAGAATGGAAAACCAATCATCGTACAGAATAGACAGTTCTTCATCTTTGCCATTATACAGAAACCTGTTCTTAATCTTTGCCTGCAATAAAATTGATACAGAGTGGAGGATGATGCACATCAGCAGTCACTAAGCATTCAATCGTGAGGGAAACACTGTGCTATTTGAAAACTTGTGACCAAGGAGAACGTTATTGTGATTCTTTACAGATTTAAGTTGAGGTAAACCAATATAAGATAAAGACTAAGTAAGAGCAAGAACTCAGTCTCTCTCGTGCAAAGTAATGTTGAAAACAGGAAAAAATTAATTTTCTTCAATATTCCACGCTACATTTACATCATAGCAATGTTCAAGCTCCTGATTGGATGACTGTCACAGCTGATAGTGTCAATGGACTTTGTTTCAATTGAAGGATAGGCATTAACCCATTAACATTGTCGTAGTTTTCTGACAACGCACTTTGGTCCTCTCCAATTCACTTCTTGTGCATTAATTTGTCTACTGAGGAATAAAATTAGCATTATCATTCTAAACAAAACATATAAGCAAGTTTTGGAATTTCTGAATGCTAAATACTACCAGATCCCCTCAACAATGTCTCTGTGCACACCAATGTGACAGCAATGTGTGTGGAAATTAAATTCTAGCAATAATGGGATAACTAAATAAGAATATGGAATGCCACAAACCTGTCCTATCAGAATCTCGTTAAATACTTCTTGGAGTGTAAATGTATGATCCTCGCACAATTTTTCTTGAATGATGGATTGTAGAAATACGGGTAGAGTGGGGGTATTAGTTATGAAATCTGCCACTAGATTTTGTGGAGCAATGCCAATCTCTGGAGAATCAGTCATGCCTTCGTAACGTTTTCAATAACTTGCGTTCTAACTTTATCAGGAGTTCGAAGTATCTCCTGTGATAGATTCGTACCTGCTTTGGTCATTTCTTTAGATTTTTGGAGGAAATATCCGATAGAAGTTCTCATCTTCAAAAGAAAATCGTTTCTACTTCCCGCCAGTGAAGATATGTTTTGAATGTTGTCATCAGTGCTCGCTGTGAGCTTTTGCCTTCATCTTTTTATTGTGCCAGAGAGGGGGAAGCAAGGTCATCGTTCAAGAAAAGTTGCGCGAGTAATACTAGTGGTGTAACAAGCTGTATAAGGGAGAAAAACATGCTGAAGCAAATGACTAAGAATTAAGAATTACATATTTTCAGTTCATTTTTTGCTTGGAAAGTAATTTCATTTTATTGATAGAGAAATCTCATATTCCATAAAAACATTTCATTTAACTTTTGATTGATGTGGTCTTCAGAAAATTGTCAAGAGTTCTGCTTTTGTTCTAGGGTTTTAGGACTGGTTACATTTATAGACATCCTCTTGTCAAAGGAGAACCACCTCGCCCAAGAAATGATGTGGAAGTTCCTCCAGCTGTGTCATCATTGGGTTACTTGTTAGAGGAAGAGGAAATGTACAAACAAGGGTTAGTTGAACTTAATAGTCATTTTTGATATTGAAATAATAAGTATTAAGAGGTAATGAAAGTAGGTATCATTATAGTACAAATGTGATTCATTATTTGTATTTGCTACAGACACTGGAAGAAATATGCTGATGGTAGGAAGACTCATGATCGCACAAGATGGTTGAATTCACCAAATGTTTATCAGAAAGTGGAGATTCTGGAAACTGGGACTCCTGATCCCAAGAAAATCACTAAGGTAGAGGTCATAACTTTTGAGAATAAAGAGGATAAATAGATGTATCCTCTCAGTACTCTTGAGGGTCACCGTATATCCGGAACAAATTCTAGTTTACATTGCAGAGTATTTTTGGAAAGAATTTGCATGTTGGGACTACCTATTGTGTGAAAACAGATTATTTAAAGGGAGTTACACATTTCCTGCACATAATTTAATGGAAATGTATGCAATGACTCCTCTAATTATATACTGCTTGCTTGAGCAAGATAAGTGTTCTGTTGTTTCAAACAGGGAGGACGTCCATTATCATAATGAAGAATTTTCTTGCTAGTTTTTACCGTCACATTTAATGTGGTACATTTGCTTATAGATGCTTGGATTTGGGTTATTAGAGATGATATCATTCCAGAAATATTCCTATAAATTAAAACATTCCTTTCTCAATGGCAGTGTTTATTTACGTTCTGATGTTAGTTTTCACGCGTGGGATGTGGAATAGCTTTGGCTTTCTGCCAGTAGTCATTTTGATTTCTTGGGCAAGCTTTGGAAGAGAAGGGTTTTTGAATACTTATTAGTGTTCTGATGATATTGAAAGTTGGATGAGAAATAATATGGATCAAAATGTAAGACATGATTCCAAAATGTGCCATGTAAGCTCTCGTGTATCTGATAATGTATTGTTCTTGCCAGTGTGGTAATGTTGTGATAAGAGTTGTTTCAAGGCTTTAATACATTTGAGTATGTGTTTGAGATTTCTTGCTACTCACGAATCATACAGTTTATTTGTGAAAAGCTTAGTAGCATGAGTAAGCATTATTGAAGTCATTAAGATGTCTTAGGTATAGTGAGGCAAGGGCTGAAATCACTGCAAAATTGGAACCCATGTTTTGGTATTATTGTTGTCACATAGTCACTGATTTCAGTCAGTCTTTCTCACTTTGCCAAATGAAGTAGATTGTGGAAATAATGTTTAACTAACATTTTAATATGTAGTTGAAAAAATGTTAGGATTTTCCAGTTTTGCACAAATACTCAAGTGATAAGTGAATCGTGCACGTACATTCAGTAAAGTCTTTTTATTATTATTATTATTATTTTGTGAATTGTAGGACAAATAAATATTTTAAATGGAGAAATATAGCTTATGTATTCTTTCAAGTTTCCCCCCCTGTGACCTCCATATTATTATGGATAATTTCTGAGTGTTAAATGACTGAGTAAACATCCTTTTCCTGCATTGCTGTTGTTAAGTAGCTTTATCATAACTAGATTTTGGATATTAACTGCATTGGATTGTGAATATGCACTTTTGTGTACGAATGTGTGTAGAAAAATTGTTGTAAATTCCCCTGATTTTTATGTGTATTTTTATTTTCATTTTTAGTGGGTGGATGCGAATGCCGAGGAGGTAATTGGAATTGAGACAGCTGGCCAAGCGTTTCTCTGCGGGTCTAAGTGTCCTGTTTCTTTTATTTTTTTATGTTGGGGAATAGCATGGGCATGGATGTACCTGCATGAATTTATGTTCAAATAACATTTCTGATTCATTTATGCTTTCTCACATACATGGGCTTCAAAAAACAATTCTGCGATTGTTGGTGAAATTTTCATTCCTTAGCAAATTGTCCATACAATTGTTCACTTCCATTTACCTTCAGTTACCTTCAAAAGAAAACAGTAAGACCAAGAGTTGTCTATCTTTTTTTGGAAAGCAGGATTTTGTGTGAAAAATCATTTAGTATGAACATGTGTACTAAATAAGAACATTTCAAAAATACTACCCAAAATCTATTAAAAACTCGAGCTGTTATTGCCTAATTCTCTTGGTATCCACACGCCTAGTTCATAGAGACAAAAAGTTATTAATTAAATGTTTGATGGTGGAAAAATCTGTAAATAGTCAGGGAAACGCCCTCTTTGAACACAGGGTACTTTGGAAGAGTGTGGTATCAAACATCCTGTATGGTGAGTGTATGTGAGAAAGTAATTGCAATATTGTGGCACCTTTGGTTTCTTTCGGAACTTGGTGTTGGTGAAGACCCACTATACTGAAATCCTGGTGGTCAGATGCTGTCGCCTTATCTTATTAATTTGCGTCTCTATGGTTTTTACTTTACAGCTGTCAGTTTTACTGTTTAAACTTGCCCCTTGGGCGTGTATAAACAGTTGCTGATACTTCATGTAATGGATTCTGTTTCAAGAAGAAATTGCAGTGAATTTTAATTCCAATTTGAGGCAAATTATAGTGAAGCTATTGTATTCTTCTCTTTCTGCTTTGGTTTCTTTTTAATGGTGCTGGAATTTCATATATTCCTCTCTCTGTATTTGCAGACTAAAAAATATTCAAAAGTGCTTCAGGATATTGCTTATAAATGTAAAAATTTAGGATTTCCTGACGGTTATACAAATTGTTTCGTGACATACTTCTGTAGTGCATGCTTAGATTACCTTTTATTTCACCTTCTTTCCTCTATTTTTATCTTATGAAATTTATTATAATATAAATCCAAAATATTAAGAGATAAAAAAAATCATATGAATTACATTCCTTAGACACCTATGGTGTTGTGTGTAGGAGAATTCTGTGCCTGTTTTCTGTAGTGGATGGATATTCTCATACCTGTCAGCTATATTCCAGCACTCATTGTCTGGACAAAACCAGAACGTGCGGGACCTACTCTAAACTGATGACAGAGGAGCAAGTGATTATTTGGAAAACAGGCACATTATTCATTGTCGCAATAGCTGTGCTAACATTAGACGCAGGTCCCTTATGCGCTTCTGGTTTTGTCTGTCCACAGTGGGTGGCGGAAGGCTCTCCTACGCACAGTAGTACTCCTGTGAGGATTGAAAGTGCTCTGCAGTTTGTGCCGAAGAACACTGATCCAAGAGAATTTAAGAAATTGCAACAACAGGTAAGTTTAATTTTTGTTTTTGTGATGATATTTTAAATTTTTATGTAAGCAAATCTTATTACTGTGGAAACCAATTTTCTTGATATGTAAAGAAAAAACCAGTTTGTGGGTAAATAAAAAGGAAGACCTTACCGTAACATCTTAAAGTGAAATCATTTTTGAGATGATTTAAAAATAGATTTAGCTGGTAAATTAGTTTCACACTTGCTTTTATATTTTCTTTAAATAGTGTGAAAGTCTTGACAAATGGTAAGTGTTTTTAGGAATGTTGTGTTAAGGCTATATGTGACATAGGATCTAGTGAATATGGCTTTCGGACTTGGCCTTGTAAATTGAATATTAAATTTAGTATCATTGGCAACCTACTTGTGATGTACAACTTGTTTTTCCAACAAGTGGTGGGAAGTGTAGTGTTTAGCAATGGAAAAACTTCTACAATTTCTGAAAAATCAAGTTCACATGTAAGTTTTAAATCATGTTATTAATCTGGTTCTTTTATTCGTCTTTTTGTCAACTGGCGATCCAATACGTCATTCTGTTTATTAATTTTGTTTCAAGAATTGTTTAGATAGTAACTAAATTTTCAAATATTACAGATTAAAGATAATAGACGATCAGATAAGATCACATCAGGCCCTCAGTCACACATACTTGAAGGTGTAAGCTGGGAGGAAGCCAAGAAATTACAGGTAAGAAGTTGGTGGACTTTATTTCGTCTTCAAAATCCATTCAAAATAAGTGGATTTAGTTACTTTGACATCAGTGTTATTGGATTTAAGTAAATTCAAATTACTTTATTCTCTATATGTTGAAAGTACAATAAAATAAATAATGGTTCATTCAATATCATAAGTAATAAAAAATCCAATAAGTGATGTTAAAACTAATATTGTTGAATATACCCAAATAGTTTAACAAAACTAATTACTGAACAATTAATTGAAATAACAACTGCCTTGTGGTAGAAAATTAAATTAGAAGTCAAGAATTCTATTATCTTTAGATTTTACATATTTTTAATTTTTCTGTTGTTTTAAATTAAATTTATTATTTAATTTTCGAGGTAAAAAGAAGATTAATTAGGTTTCAGCATACATCATAATCTGTTTTCATTTTCTGTAGGAGTCATCTATAAATTACGTAACGCTAAAGAGAGGGAGAAGGGGTTTGAGGTAGTGTTACGTAGGGAAGGGGAGTGTTAGTTTCATGTCACACTGCAGTGTTTATATATGTATGTATGTATATATGTATATGTAGTGTATGTATATACACAATATATTTCAATTAAAAATATAAATTAATTTTCTATTTATTGTAACAATTTACATAAATTAGTTGTTAGATGTAAATTTTAACAATTAGTAGAAAATTAATTTATATTTTTAATTGAATTGATAAAACAACATTCTAAACTGTTATGTAGCATACTTTAGAATCAAATTAAATTGTCACAGTAGACTCTCGCTCTTGCGTTATCCAAGACGGCGTGTGCACGGCTTACAATTTTCTGCCTATGCGTTCTGCCTTCACTGAGTTTGCTTCCAATATTACTATTAGATGTAGTTAGCATCGCCAAATTATTTCTACTTTAATTATCATTCATTTTAATATGCAACACAAGTAAAATTAATACTTTTTTTTTTTACTGAACATAATGTATTTTCACTTCTTTTACATACAAATGGGAGTAGAGTGTTGTCGCAAGTCTTATGCAGACTGTTGACTGGCGGACTGTAACTCAGCCCCCATTGTTCGGACACATTTAACACGGAATAAAATTATTTTATTTAAAAAATGTCACTATCGTAGAATATCTTGTAATACTGAAAGGTCTTCCACACACACTTGTATTCACAACATCGCTCGCAGACTGTAACTCGGCTGTAATTGCAGCTGCGGGGGGAAAAAACACCCACTATGAAAAATAGAAAGAAGCTTCTTACGGCCTACTGTATACAAGGGACTCACAATAAAAAAAACATTTTGAACCAAAAACGTAACAACAAATGAAAATAAATTCTTTAATCATTGTAAATAATGCATTCAATGCGGTTAATAATTGACCCAACTTGTGTACTTTCAATAACAAATAAAGTTCAATATATTCTTCGTGACCCTCTGACTAGAAATATCATTTAATGTAGTCCAATAATTTATTTATGAATGTCATGTTTATAAAGATTAATATATATGTGGTGAGTTTTGTTTTAGATTTTTTTCGGCATTCCAAGTATGTTAGGTCACTCGTGCAAGTAAGAGTCTGTTTTCTAGAATTCTTATGCTTAATATAGAGAAATTTAAACTGGTGATATTTTATCTATTTATTATACAACGGCATGTTAATAAATACAGAAAAGTAATGTACTTTTATAAATCTCCTGAAGATTAGCAAACACACACTCGAAATGTCAAGAATAATGAAAACCTAAAACTCATCAACATGTATTCATATATTATGTTAATCTTTTAAAAATTGTAAAATAATTTATTGAACACACAAAGTTGATGAAATTAAGTTGCAGCTAGTAAAAAGAAGACATAAAATTAGTATTACCCTTGGACCCCTTGCGCAGGGCATGGCAACAGGACCCACTCACCTATCCAATGCCTATGCAATGGAGGGCCCAATTTTGAAGCGTAGGGCCAAAGAGTAAACAAACTAATAGAGCCAAGAAAGTGACATGGTTCAATATCTGGAGAGCACCGGACGCTGAAGGCAGTAGTTACCCATTTTTCAGTTTCAAAATGATTTCATACATCAGTATTGCTGCAATATGTTAAATATTGAATTTCATTAAAAGGAAAATAAGTATATTCGTAACATATTTTTCAAGGGTTCAACCTGAGCACAAGTCTCCATAAGAGTCAAGCTATTAGTTAAAACAAAAATAATATTGTGAAGTGAAAGATCAATGAAGAATGGATATAAGTTAAAACTAACCTTCTTTTATCAATTCTACTTTTTTTCAAATGATGGATTTTTATCTTAGTCGTTCATAAATTACGTAACGCTAAATAGGAGAGTGAGGGGTTTGAGACATTATTACTCTGTTAAAGGTTCTAAATACATTTTTAGCATGCATAATTTTACAAATAAATGTTTTATTAAAAAACTCGAAGAGTATTTAAAATCGATGGAAGTTGTAGGAAGTCAACATATTCTTCATTTTTCATCAAAATTGCGTTTCTTTAATTTGTGAATTGGTAGGGGAGATCAAAACATATCTAAACTAATAACACAATTAAAATGTTTTCTTTGGCCCAGTTTTTCTTTATAAGAGGTTATTTTTTATTGAGGTACCTTTCCTGCTTATGTTTCAAGCATAATTGTAAAAATATGATTTGCAAAAGTGTTGGGAAAGCTTATCTATGTTTAATAAAAGTCCTTTTATTGCTTTTGATTTTCAGCTGCTTAGAACTTACATGATCCACTCACAATAAAAACTTTTAGTTAAGAGAGGAAAAAGTTAATTGTTAGGATGATGAATCAAATTTTGTGGTGCTTCATATCCAAGTTACATCGTCCTTCTTCCTGCAAAAACTGATGTGAATGAAGTAAGGAAAAATGAACATAAAAGAACACAAGCATTTCCTAACTTTCAATGAAATACCCTTGTTCCGTTAGGCTCATTTTCCCTTAATATATTCATTTTATATGGCAGTTTTTGCTGGTGCAACGACAGTATGTCCAAAATAAGAAATGCTGTAAAGTATCCCTCTACAAGGTCGATTGCAATTTGAGACCGTTGTTTTGCAATAAAAAGCACTGAAACTGCTTGTGATGATGTGTTGATCACATAAATAACAAGATTTTCTCTCGTTAAAATGCTTTGAGTGTGAAACAAGGTCATAAGTAACCAAAATAATTTAAAAAATCAAAATCAGGATAGTTAAATGTTTGATGAGGCACTTTGAGGTGGAAGTGCTGAAATATGCTTATTTAAGCACTATGAAAGTAGTTCCTGTATATATAATAAATTTAAGGTTTCAAAACAGAAAATAGACTCTTGCCCAAAAATATGTCTATAATTACACATCAAAATATTTAAAGAATAAATTTAGTTACAAATAGTATTGCATGTACATAGTATAAGAGAGTTGTAATAATTTTGAATTACGTGTTTTGTAATACAAGTGTTTCTAAAACATTTCTTTTCTCAGTAAAGAGTCATAATTGCTTCTGAAACACTAAAAAATTGATTGGCGCTGAATTGAATCTAATTTTCACCTTACTTTGTAGTTGTAATAAGATTGGATTAAGAAAATTTTATTTCAGTTCATTACTAAGATTCTTCTACTAAAATTTTTAAAATGGTGACAATGCAAATGTGTGTTAATAATACACATTAATACTGTTACCCATGCAGGTGATACAATTAACAGAAATTCTGTTCCGTAGTTATAAAAATACAGAATTTCTTAATAAAATGATTTTTGTGCAGGATGCTAACATCTCAGCTACAGGAGATCAGGTTATCCTCGTAGGTGCTGCTTCGAAGGGTATTATTCAGCGAGGGTTCCAGCATAATGCTCTTGTTTACAAGACTCCTTATGCCAAGAATCCTTTTGATACTATAACTGATGAAGAGTTGGAAGAATATAAGAAAGTTGTTGAGCGTAAACAACGGGGTGAATCTTGTAAGTACAGCCTTTTTTTGCAGATGTACCTTTTTTACCTGATTATAAGATGATTTCTAATTTTGAAGAGGTCTCCTGTTTTGATTTTTTACTGATTCTTATTATTTTGTCAAGATAAAATTGCGAATTGCATAATTGACTAGAAAATTGTCTCGTTGACAAGAATTTTAAGTTAGTACTGCCTGAACCTTCATTAAGGGTACAGGGATCTAACTAATTTTCACATTGAGATGGCAAAATGGGCTCTTATGGAAGAAACCCTGGTGTAAACAATCTTAATATGATCTTATTAGACAGAGAAGAACTATACATAATCCTTATTAACATCAGAAGTTTACATAAAAATATATATGAATTAATATTAGTAATCAATGCAATGAAGAACAAACGGCAAATGCCACACTGTGAATTGCATGTCACCATTAAAAGACTAGAGTCTGTTGCGATATGTTCTCTTCTTAGCTTACATACATCCTTCCTGTGCTTGAATAACATAATGTATTCTCCTTATTATACTATATAAGTAAACATTTTGACCTCTAAATTGTAGATGGTGTAGGAAAGATATAATTGGATGATTGAACTTTGGTTTCTGTGTCATAACCATAAAGCAATGATTCGCCACCAATTATGACCTTCTTGAGCACATTTGGGTAATCGTGGACCGAGTACATCCCCTGAGCAATGTTAACGCAATGCTGTTTCTGGTCCATCCAGGACGTTATTGTTCACACCTTCTCAATCCTCTGAAAACTTTTTGTACCAGCCATAAATGTTGCTTTTGTCCGAGGTAGCTTCCCCATATGCCACAGTCAAGATTCGGAATGCATCCACACACTTTGTTTTTGTTTTTCACCCGAAATTTTGTACAGATTCTCGGATCCATTTTTTGGAATAGCAGAAATTGAAGACGAGACACAACACGCCCAAGCAAAACAGCCATCAACAATTAACTAACCATTCAAAATGGCTGATCTTGCCAGCATAAGTAAGGGGCATGAGTACTAACATAACGCTACAAAAAATCAAAAATCAAATATAGTACATAGCCCAAAGAAATTCAAAATTCACAATACTTCTTAAACAAACCTTATTATTTCTTTCTTTTTGGTCCTTCTCCTATGCTGTGTCACCCCCTAATATTTTATGCACCCCTGAAATTTTGACCTGTGAATTTGCATTTGTCTTCCATCTCTCTCTACTCAAGAACATTTTGTTTTGAATCACTAAATTTTCTTCCTATCATTCTCTTCTTTATGGCCTATTTTCCAATAGTGCCTACTGCTATCAATTTGAATTTCTTAAATTTCCTTTCTTGCAAATGGAGACACCCCCCAAAAAAAAAAAAAAAACACAAAAAAAAAAAACAGCTTTTTGCCAGGTGTGGAACCATGACCTTGTTAATCAGTGCATGTTGTAACAAAATTTTAGCAATGATTTTTATTTTTTAACACATGGCATTTCACTTGCAATGCAATTTGTTTACATGTTTTTCTTACTGGCCTACTCAATACTATTGGTCTTCCTTGGTCAGCAAATATGTGGTAGATACAAATCAAGGTAAATCAAGGGCATATCTTCTGAATTAATTAATTAAATGAAAGATAACCACAAAACATCGATAAATTGAATTAGATAGTATAGATGTGCTTGATATTTATTGCCTTTTCAGCATAGTCTTTTATCAGCATTGGAGTTTCTTCTTTACATGGAAAGGCAGTTTAAAAATATACATCATAACCGACAGGGAACAGTGGATAAGATGAACCATATTTTTCAAATGAGATTTTAGAAAAAGTCTCTTGTAATACTCAGGTTAATACAGTAAATAAATAAAATCTTCAAAATAAAATGTATACTCACTTTTCTATGTAAATTATTTTTTCTTTGACATATAAAAAAGTACAAGAAATTATGTGTCTTTCCCATGTTTTTCTTTGTTTTATCATAAACACAGTCAGGATTATCCTGCCTTTTTGCGTTCCAAAAAAATTTCAAATTGTGAATATTTTTTAATCATTGTAATTATCATTAAATTATAAACATCAATGTGCTTAATTTACATTTCAAAAAACCCAAAGCTGCTGCTTGGATTCTGCTTACATAGGTTTTGTCTGAAACTAAGGTCGAAAGGCTAAGGTTAATTTCCAATACCTATACTTTGCACCAAACTTCTTTGTATTTTACATATGAGACACTTGATGCCAACAGTGGTTTCATAGTGTCATGCAATAGCTGCAGCTTTCAAGAGACTTAATCTGCCCTTGTTGCCACCAACTCGTAGTGAATAAATGTGGTACAGATCATTCAGCTGAGAGCTTTTGAGGCCTACAGTCAAAATGTCACCTTGTAGGTTTAGGTAGGTTTAGGTTTGTCCAGGTAGTTTAGGTATCAGACTGAAGGAACAGGGTAACATTATTTTTCTCTCTCTTTCTCGCTCTCTCAATCTTTCCTTCTTTTATGTTAAGAAATTGCATTTGACTTTAAATCAATAAATATACCAAGAATAAAGTTACTGATAAAAATTGTAATAATTTTGCTCATTCTTCCTGCAACAAAAATTCAAAAATATTTTCTCACAAGGATTTTTTTTAATGCTGCAGTTGACGAGGAGCAATCTGAATCAGAGCCTCTGTCCTCCTCTCTGCATAACAGCAGGCCTACAAATGAAGAGAGTGCAAGTGCAGCCAAGTCACCCCTGCTGTCTCCAACATCTGCTGCTAGTGAAACCGAGGAAGAAAGCAGAGATGGTAATGTTAAATTTGCACTTGGTAGACATGATAAATTTATTACATTGATCCAAAGTTGAGTGTCAGTAATGAAACCAGCACATCCAAATAAAGATTACTTTCTGAATTTAAGAGTTCTGTGGATTTTGTTATGTTTTTCAGTCATTTTTAAAGGATTTTCCCTCATTTCATCTATTTTAATATAATTTTAATGGTACTTGCTTAAAATAATTATTACAAAATGCAACAAATGTTCTCCATAGAATTTCTGAGTAGCCTATTCAATTTCTGCGCTCAGAAAATGTAATGTCAGCCGTTTTGTAAGGTTCCTGTGACTTCCTATTCTCAATTCAGCCAATTTCAATAACTAAGGAGAGATTTCCTGGTAAAGAACAATCCAAAACAAAAGATCACTTTAATGAAAGGACAAAGATCGATTACATCAGTAATATATCCAACAACTTAAGTTGTTCATTTGAACTAGTTTTGATAAAATATTTTATTCATTTTAACTCTTTTAAGTCATTTTCCTTTGCTTTTACATAATTTGTAAAACCTTTTAAGAGCATTTTATTGATCTTTTTTGGTGATAATTTTGGTCATCAAAATTTGTCCCTAGTCATAATAATAATGATAATATTCATATTCATTTGTTAACATGTATGATGTTTGTTTTAGCTTAAATTTATTTTATGTTATGGTAATCCCTCACCATTTACAAGAGTTAGGTTCCCAAAAAACATTGTGAAAGTTAAATCTGATCTATCTTCTAACAGAGAAAGGTGGGTTATGTTACTGCATATTGGGAAAGGCTTTTCAAAAAAATCTATAAAGGTTGCATTACTATTGAATAAGTAAGCACCACAACCAAACAAAATTACTATTAACTTACCCCAAGGAAGAAATAAAACGCAAGCTTTCAATGTTACTTCAAAGTTGTTTGGACTGGGTATTTGATTATTTTTGTTTGATCTCCTCATTGTCTTCAGTACCTCCAAATGTGGAAGGGTAGCTGTTTCTATTTCTGTTTTAAATTTCAAAGTTCAGGTGTTTAGATTGCTGTTATTTCCATTACTTCATCACTATTGTCTAGGTGATACTCTTTTTTGATTGTTTCCCCAAGATATTCATCAGTAAGGTCATTATCATGCAAGTTGCATAGGTCCTGGTCATCTTTTATTTTGTCATTAAAGTCATCACTTCCAATTTCATGCAATGGTAATGAATTACTTTCAAATTGTGTTATTCTACAGTGCACCAAGAAAGTCTATCTGCAGGGACACCATGAAGGTGAGAGCTATCAACAGATTTTATATGCATACTCATACTTCATACATACTCATACAGTCGTACTTAGCAGTAGTGATGGTGTAATGGTTAGCATATCGGACTGTTATACCCATGTCGGCTGGTTCAAACCCGACCGACTGCCGTGGATTTTTAAGGGCGAAAAAAGCTTTCCCCGTGTTGGTAGATTTACTTGCATGTAAAAGATCTTCGAGCCTAAATGACACCTCTGAGCTAAATTCAAATCACCTGCTTTGTCACCCAAGAAATACCTCCTTTCTCCGCAAGTTGGTGAAAGGAGCATAGCAAAATTTGCGTGGCGCAGAGAGAAGAGCAGGCCTGGATGCTCAAGTCTCGCCACGTAAAATAAGGCAATATTCAATTCATACTTCCTACATATGCACACAGGCATACTTCCTACTTATTCATGTATCACAGATGTCTCTCAAGCCTCATGGTGCTTGGAGTGATAAGAAATATTTTTTGGTGTGTTTATTTCATTTGTTTCTTCTCCATAGAACCACGAGTGCTGCGGATAGAAACTAAGCAAGTTCCTCGTCCAAGCCAAGCAGAGGTTGTGCTGAGTGATGGTGAGTTTTTGTTGCCTGCAGTTTGCCAGAGGGTTTTACTTGTGTTGCATGGAGGTTTTTAACCTTTACCAACAAAATCCTTTTTAAAGTTTTTGGTCAAGTTGAATCTGCTGGTGTCTTTGATTGTATTTTGAGTAGGTTACAAAATGCAGTTGTGTATTATATTCAGATTAATTTTGTGTGGGAAGGGGTAGTTATTATGTAGATTGTAGACTGTATTCTGTAGACAAAAGATGACGTTCAGGTGTGCTAATTGTGTGATAGTTAGAATATTGTGCTAGAACAGTCTCCAAAGAACAAATTTTTATGAAGAGAATGCAGCCATTTGGTAAGTAAAATGTGAAAAAGAGATTCATCTTCTCTCTAGAAAGCTTTGTGTAGATGTAGAGACTGCAAAGCAGTGCTAAATAGTTGAGTAGCCCTTATTTTCATGTTGTAAAGCAGTAGTGTCAAACTCATCAAATGAAAATGATAAATTAATTCTTAAAAAATTGTGTAACTAAATTTTTACAGTACATACTAAACACTTACGTATTATAATAGTTATTCTTTCCATAGGTATTTCTATTTCTAAAACTGTATGTTGGGAATTAAATGTAAGTTGTGGACGTCTGTATAAAAGAGATGTAGTAAAATTGCAGGAAAAACCCTTCTTATTTTAAATCTTCATAATGTTGATGTTAAAAATCTCAAAATGTGTAACTTTTGTTTGAAAGTGACACCATAACCACAATATCAATAAATGTTGTATTCCTGTACAATTTTTATTGTTTTCCAATATATTTTTCACACTGGGAAGAGTTGGTAATGTTATGTTTGACACTGCTGGTTTAAAATGCATGTCTGCCAGTCCAGTAGTGTTACAGTTTATTTAGATGGATGCTGCCCCTACGCATGTGTCCTTTATCTTGAGCCGCTAGCTGCATGTCTTGTGTCTGTTCTCAAGCTGAAGGAGAGTTACCAGACCCTGGGGTGGAGCGCACAATGTCTCTGCGTTATCCTTCAAAAGGTGAGAGTTTCTTGCTGTAATGATGTGCATGTACGTACACCCATCCTGTGCCCTTTCTTGTAATAAATTCCAATCTATTTTAAGTGTGTGCGGGGGGGGGGGGGTTAATTTGCTGTTATATAACATTAAATTTAAATCTTTTTATTTAGTTTAGTGGGGATTATTCCGTACTGATAGATTCTGAAATGGAATTAATTGATTTATTAGACCCCTCAGGTGTGTACAATGGCATATGCCATTCTTGCTTTTAAATGCATCGCAGGTGTGTCTCGACATATTTCACGAAGTGATCGCTAGCTAACAGTTCACTATAGTATCTCGACTTGTATTCTGATTTTCATGTTTTTCACATTAACTGTTGAATTTTTATGAATAATATTGTGGTTGCGGACAGAATTTTTTATGGTAGTACTACAATGGCGAAATTGACAAAATAAAATATCCATATATAAATTAAAGTACAAGACATTTGTCTAAGAAAGCAAGTAGAGTGCTATAACTACAATAACAGAAAAGAAACATTATATTGTTGCAAAATTTTCCACGGAAACACACCTTTTTGAATTGTTATAAAAATCGCTCTTGGAAAGATATGGTTTGTTTATTTTTAACTTATTGTGCATATTATTTGTTATCATATTTAATAAATTAAATGAAAGAACATACTTTCCATAAAAGTCACTCTGCAGTAGCTGACGGTGGAGAGATAAGACATGCCTGAAGGGTTAATAAACTTTTGTTTCTCAACATAAAAAGGACTGTGGGATTGTGTACTAAACATTTTCTTTTAACCTTCTTAATGCCATGATACTCAACACTGTGAGTGTACAAGTACAAAGTCAAGTGGAGTCTGTGTGGACTCCCACGGGAAAATTATATAGATATATCCCTGATAACTTTAAAGTACATGTTTGTATCACCAAATAGTAAGAGAGATCCAGTGGATCCCTATAAAAAAACTTATATTTTATATTGAAATTTGTTAAATTGAATATTTTTCATAATTTTTATTGTGAACCTTTTTGACTCTTAAGAATCCAAAATAATGTTTTCCTCCTCTTATCTGTTGAAAAATAGAAAATAGGATACAACTAGACGTCTTATAGCATTAGGAGAATTAACAGCACTAGCATCTTGTAGTAATGTGTTTTTTCCTAGAAAACTCACATCGTTAGAATTGGATTTATGAAACTTCTAAGAAATTGTCGTACAAGAATCAAAATGCTAATAATTAGTCAAAGTTATTAGAAATAATGACAAGGTGAAAACAATAAGATTTTGGTTTATATTTTTACTGTAAACTGAGTAAGTAGAAAAAGAGCTAATAATCAAATTCAGCTAAATATATTCTGTTGTTGTTTGGCTGAAATTTTATACAGTACATAACAGCTTCTTTTTATTCTGCAAATTGAAAGAAGCAAAAACACTTATGGGGGTATGAGAATAAAAAATTATTAATGAATTTTGAAATGTTTACCCTGGAAGAACATATCATCCAGTTATACGTTATAAAAATCAGTTCTTGTGTACAAATTTCTCCAAGGCACTATTGCATGAAAGTTTGCATCTTCCTGGCATGCATTATTTGCGTAGCCCCTGACTCCCCTGCAGACTCGGACCAATTCAAGCGCACGTGGTCTCTGCCGCCAGATCAGTTGAAGAAGAAAGGTGAGATACAGGTCAACTTTTAACACTGTATTTGCACATTGATGTTGTGTTAGAAATGAGGCAGATGATTTCTGTTCATACCTCAAGGTTTTACAACGGAAATTAGTTTTTGTCTTCAGAGTTAAAATTCTCTAAATTTCTGCCTAGTTACTGTAATAAGTAATATGACATGGTGTAATTGTATTTACCTACATTGTTTACTTTGTTTCTGCAAGAAAATTTTGGATTTGTTTAAAGCTCAGTCTGCTAATTCAACTAAGGATATAGTTGAACTGTGAGTTGAAAATTTTGAAAATGCAATGATTTGCCTTTGCCTTTGAAGCACCAAAGATATTCTTTTACGTTTATCATAATGTTTATGAAACCTCAAACAAAGTGATTCTTCTTCATTCATGCTCCCTACTGTTTAAATAAACTAAAGTATATTTATGAATATTGTTTATTTGTTCTATATAGTTGTGAATCCTAATTATACTTGAAGTATGAATTAAAATCATTTAGTACACCTAACTGTTGTGCAGTGGTGGTAGTTAAAAATGGTGGTAGGTGTGGAAGGATTGGGTCTGCTGTACATAGTATTTGTAACATGCCAGGTGTTGTTGTTTTGCAGTGTGACACTCTGCGGTGGGGGAGCAAGGTACTAGGCTTTCCCAGTTTCTGCTGCATAGTGTCCTTGAGCTGAAGCCTAGCACACCCTTGCAGCTGCACAGTAGTCTGAGGGTTATCCAGCATAAATTAGTTCCACTGAGCCCCTTCTGTAGTCATCAGATTCCTGTAGTATATTGACCTCGTTGTTCAGGATAGAGCATTAATTGTGTCAGTTATTTTGCTTATTTTGTATATTCAGAGCTTTTTTGGTTGAGAGCATACTTAACTGCTTTCTGTAAACAGTAATGGTGCTTTGTAAACAATACACCTTAATTTGGGAAATGTTCTTTAAAACTAGAATTGTACTAATATTCCAATGACTTCTTTTCATTTTGAATGTTATAAAAATATTAGTTTCTGTTTATTTACCTCCCATCGCCTTTTGTTCACTTTTTACTTAAGTTATTTAGGAGTAATATTAAGCCAATCAGCATTCAGCCAAACTAATCTGAAAATATCAGTTATTATATGATTTATTATTATTATTATAATGGAAACTTAACTTCTGGGGTTTCTGTTTTCTCCTATTTGTGCATGTGGGTTTGCATTTGTGCTTCTCTCTCCCCTTCTCCCTTTTCTTCACTTATTATTCTCTCTTACACCTCTCCTTCCCAAAACTTCTGTCCAGCGCCAACTGACAGGCGCCACAAATATTCATGGGATTTTGTCTCTAATTTAAAATATTAAGGCCGTTGACTGTCCCACCCAATTGTGAGCTTGTGACATTATTGTGGTCATGTTCCCACTCCCCTCCCCATCCCTCCCACTTCCCTCCATCCTCCCACTCCCCTCCCCATCCCTCCCACTCCCCTCCCCATCCTCATCCATCCTCACTCCTCCCCATCTCCCACTCCCTCTCCTGCCCCCTCTCCCTCCCTCTTTCATTTTAGTTTTTACATATTTAAATAATTTTTTAACAAAACAATAAAAAATGCGTTTTTGCAAGTGAAACTGTTTCATTTTTCACGTACCTATTTAAAAATAACTATCATTATACAAATAAAATAGGACAGAACTTGATGTCATGAAAATAAACCACTAATAATGCAATATTGAAAATCACTTTAAAATCATATTAGTTAATATGCCCTGTCTAAGAACTTCATTGTGTAAATTTCATTGGAGAGAAAAGTCATTGGAAAAAAATTTTGTATTTCAGGAAATTTAGATTTAAAATCATGTTTCTAGTTGGGTGGATGATGGATGTTGCATTTCAGTGCAGGTTTACTTTCTGCACTGTATCAAAAAGGTATTCTCTCACCAACAAAGCATAATAAATTGTCATCAATTGGTTTTAGGGAGGGGGGCAGGCTTCAAAACATTTAATCGGCATCAGCAGACATTTAATACAATATAATACAAAAAATAAAAATATTCAAACCATGTGAAATTCAAAAGTAATTGACATTCAACCAGTGTATTGAAAATAGTGGCATGTGTGTGCATGAAATGTTTTGTCCGTTACCCTCTGCTTGTGTGCTTTTTCTTCTTTCATCTATTTGTGTTTGGGACATGTTAAGAGTTTTCATGTTTTGCTTCTAAAACTCTTCTGTCGATTTTAGAATTTTGAATTAATACTTAGAAGACAGTTTTTGTACTTACATTGCGTCAAAATCGAAAATCACAACTTAACAGATATCTAGTCTCATTGCAACTTTTAATTCAATTGTTCACAAATGGGCTATTATTTAGTTTCATTGGTAACATTTTCCATCCCAATCTTTTCAAATATGTATTCCTAATTGTAATTCTTCCAAATTTTACGTATTCATGAAAAATCATTTTTCTGTATCTTCAGTATTGCATTTGAATTTTTAAACATGTTTAATTTTGTAATAAGTGTTCTTTACTGTAACTTACAACATTAATTTTGAATTAATTTCCTTGCCTGTCATTATTGCTGAAAAATTATGTTTAAAATTATTTATATTTTTGTGCTAGAATTAAATTGAAGCATGTTTCAGAGTAATATTCTATAAATTGCATGAAGAAAATGGCAAATCTGAATTCCTAATTTTAGATCAGTCAGGAATTTGAGAAAATGCCCGAGCTGCATCTTGTAGCAATTGGTCAAGAGATTGTTTCAATGCAGTAAAGAACACTTTCAGCACAATGTGTTGATCATTGCCCATGGATCTGTTGTGTTTTGTGTGATTTTCTCTGATGGCTTGCTTTTATTATTGTCTTTGCAGATAACAATGAAAAATATGTTGAAGATAAGTGTGATCAGCTGCAGCAAGACCTGAAAATAAATGCATGTAACCATCACCTTCCTTGCTGTTCCTATAATAACTTAACACTCCCGCACAAATGTGTCTGCAGTTGCTTTACTCCACTTGGCTATCTGCCTCAAGCTGCCAAGAAAGCATGTGTTACAAGTTACTCATTTTTGTCTTCCATTTCCTCTATCATCAGTGGAAGTCATCAGAAAAGGGAGAGATGTCATGACAATGTCATTGGATGCCGCATAACACGTTTTGCAAATATACCTCACTTGCAACGCAGAAAGATTGAAGACTCTTTCTATTTTTCACAAAATAAAAAGGTTGCCAAGAATTTTCCAAGATCCTTTTCTAAACCACTATCCAGAAATATATTGGATAAAACATATCACAGCAACTTTGGAGCAGTAGATGATAACATCTTGAACAGAGATTACCATTTGTGTTTAGGTTCTCATTTTAAATTTGTAGATAATACTGTTTCACAATACAGTGACCAAAAAAACTCATTCAGTCTTCAGAAATGTTCTTTATTGCCTTCTAATTTAATTTCTAGATGCCTAGATAGGGCATCATCGACAATGAATAACATCGAAATTGATATTAAGAATGAAAAAAATGTGTTTGATTTAAAGTACGAGAATATGCAGTTATTGACTGAAAAAAAATGCAATTTGAAAAACCTCTCGAACGCACCAAATAAGTGTTCTGTGAATATTGAAATGAATGAAAATATCAAATTTAACATAAAGGGAGCACCCTCATTTTTCAATGTAACAGATAAGGTAAAAAACAATGGTTTTGAAATTGAAAACTGCAATACTGATGTGTATAAAGAAAAGAGAAAGACAGTTGATGATGCCTTCGGGAGTTCTATCCTCGATTGTTGCATTTATCAGAATGGTTCGTGGCCAAAAAGTGAAACTCCTTCAATATCGTCTACAAAAAATACTAAAAATTTGTTTTGTGAACTAGATCCTTATATTGCTAAAGATTTCAAAAGTGTTTCTATTGTAAGACCGATTGCTCATGACTGTGAAATCTGTGAAAACACTGCAAAGAATGACAACATTTCACAGTCTAAAATGGAAAACAGTGCAGACAATTCAGAAGAAGTTACCATTAAGGCAAATGCCGGAGATAGTGACAGAATAGTTTTTTCTCTGGTAAACATTAAAAATAGAAATGATAAAGCAACAAGAGCAACTTCATTGGAAAAGGAAAGGAACCTGAAATTAGCAAATGATGATTTTCTTCATGTGGTGCAATCTACTGAAAATGAAATAAATAGCGGATATATAATTTCTTCAAAGAGAATTCAAAACTCATCCATTACAGATATTGTGGTATCAGTGGACAATAATTTACTTGATTCAGGTTTGCAAAGAGAGCAGGAGTTAAGTGAATGTTCCAGTGGTAGTGAAAATATTTGTTTCAGCACGGAAAGTTGTTGTAGTGGGAAAAAACAGAAAATAAAACACACTCAAAAAGATTTCTTAGAAACAATGACTAAGTGTTCTCTGAAAATGACCTCGGATGCACATAGCTTAAAAAGTGAGGAAATCAATAATGGGAATGCACAGAATGATAATGAGGATATAATGGATATGAAGTTAGAACTAAACAAGTTATTTCAAGTGAATGAAAAGGAATCTGACCTGAATAAAAGTTCTGAACGATCTAGAAGTCTTGTGATTGAAGGGAATAACACCAATTTTTCTGGGCAAATTTGTAATTTGTATGAAGAAAATAATTCTAATGTTTTTCTATCTAATGATAATGTCATTGAGCCTTTTGAAAATTACAAGGTATTTAAGGGTAACTCTGAATTTAATGTTAAAAGTCGTACAGTATTAGAAGATACTCCAGAAGAAAAATTTGAATTTGTGCTTCCAGGTTATGAAAAGTCAACTAAAGAGATTGGTATTGGTAACAACAGCAATGCTAAGATTATTAATTTTTATGAGGAGAATGATTGTGACCATCAAGAAGATACCCTTACGTGTGGTCAGTCTGAAAATCTATTTGCTGAAAATGCAGAATATCATTCGGCTGAAAATTTTGATCATAACAATAACCACAACACAAATTATATTGAGAATGTAAATGAAAATGATGGAACTGCTATAATAAAAGACAAGTGCCGCAAACCTTGTGATCATACATATGACATGAATTATATTTGTCATGTGGACACACAAAATGTTAAGAGATTAGCTGATGATACAAGCAGTAGTAGTTCAGCTCCATTTTCTGCTAACACATTTTTAGAGAACTTTCCATACAATAAAAAAGCTAATTCTTATTATACAAGATCTATTAACATCAATGAAAACATTGTATTTGAAAATAAACATGATTGTGGTATTCAGGCCATAGGTTTTGGAAAAAATCAAAAAAATATATCTATTGAATTGTGTGGCAAGTTTGAAAATGATATCAATCAAGATACAACTGAAACTTGTTTTGTGAACTCTGTCCCAAACTTCAACATTTTAATAGTTTCTGATCAGATCTGTGATACAATAGATGTTTTTCATAATTTTCAGAAATGGCCTGTTAATGATGGTAAAGACAGAAAAGAAACGATAGATAGAATTGAAACAGTGGGGCAAAATAAGAAGAACTCTGTTTCTAACAATCTAAAAGAAATAAAAATGTCAAATGAAAATCAAGCATTCACATCTTTCGATTATAGACAAATATATTCATCTAAATTTCTTAATGATAAGATAATTCAAGACCTCAATTTTAATGAAATCCATGCTCAATGTAGACCAGAAATATTTAATAGAACACAATGTAAACATTTCCACTTCATAGAGAAGTCTTTAAAAACATTTTCTGATATGATCAATGAATGCAAATTTGTAGGAAAAGGTAATGTCCATAACATAATAAGTAGACTTTTAGCAAATAACGTTAGTTATAATTTCACTCGCTATTTAACTTGTGCTGCTTTTGATAATGCAGCATTAACAGAAGGAATAATCATCCAGCATGTGGAAGTGAATAATTTGAAATCAAAGGAAAATGTTTGTAGTTTGTTTGGATTACTTGGTGATACAATATCTCCAGGACAGATAAGGAGGACCAGAGACAGCAATTATACTCCTTTATTAAATGTGTGCGATGCAAATTGGTGTGCAGAATCCAAGAAATATTTTTCTGATACCAGTATGATAAAAGGAAACTTTGTTTCGTTAAAAAAACAATCAAATTCTCAGCTCTACAGAGAGTCTTCTATTTTGCAAAATTCACCTTTGGAAGAAATTTCTTTATTTAGTGACAATGATGTACCATATGTCTTTGCTAATTTAATATCTGATAAACATGATTTGCTTCTAACTGACAAGAGAGATAATGTTCTTCAATTTGGATTTCCCTTTTTGTGTACAATCTCTCTTGGAAGCTCCTGTAAATCATTTTCGGCCCGAATAGAAAAAATTTTGCGTACTTGTGATTTGGAAATAGATGTGCATACATGCTTGAATGATGTTTCCTGGGAGAGAGATAAAGCAGTAGTACCTTATAATGAAGGATTATATGAAAAGATTATTGTACATTGTAATTTTAAGACAAAACCCCTTTGGAGAGAAAATTCAAAAACCTGTATGATTCAGAGAGAAAAACTGGAAACTTTGAGAAGCTTGGGAGAAAATTTGAAATCCTGGAATGATTATACATCATTAAAATTCAACATAATGGAAGTAAAATTACTTCCATCTTTTATAGTCTCTCAGAGAGTTTATGAATCAAACTCTCTGCTTCCACTTATTGTGAATTCAACATTACCCAACAAAGCTGCTCTATGTCAATTAGAATCATATTTCAAAAATAATCTGTATGATACTGGTGTAGCAAATGAACCAAATGAACCTCAAGTAAATAATGAAAGAAGATATTGGCCTGCTGACTTCGATAATGAAACGCCTAGTGTGGCTACAGATTTTACTGACACTGAAGGAACACTATTAGCCAGCTGTACAAAATGCAAGGATTCAGACAGTGCATCCTCTCCTTCCAGTACAAATTCATCTAATTGCAGTAGCAAATTTTCAAGCACTATTCCTAGTGATTTATCATTGTCTACATCATCTTTAGATATTGTAACTGCCCTCACAGAAGTCCCTTCTCTGTCTATTGAGAACCCATCATTAGATTACTATTCTTTCAGTTCCCCTGTTTTGGATATGGAAGATCCTGAATTCAGTCTATCAGACATACAGGAATCAAATGTTGCAAGTTTTTTAACTGAAAGTCAAAGTTTCAATTTGTCATCTGATACATCTTTCACAACACATGACTTAGATTTGTCAAATACAATTTCACAGTCTCGGTCAGTGAATTCTCAAAAATCTGAAGTTGGACTTAACCCTTACTTAAAAATTTGTTTTAGTTCATCAGAATCTTTGTCTTGCAATAATTTATCCAATGATAGTAAAAACTTATGCAATTTTTGTGGAAATAATCCATTTGAATATTCAGCCGTAGATGAAATGAACGTTTCAGCAACTCAACCATTTACTCCGAACATGACTCAAACTAGCAATTCAAATGAAAACAGCACACCAGAACTAACATCTACAAGCTGTTCATTTATCTGCAGTGATTGTAAAAACAAAATTAATCAAAACAAATCCTATTGTGAATGTGTTTCATCCGATTCAATATGTACTCAGTGTCTGACCTCTGAATACCGGTATAGCACAGATCCGAGGGAGTATGACTCGTGCTCCAGTAACACACCTGACCATTCACTAGATAGACAATATGAGCCTATGCAAGGAGAATGCAAAATTGCCTTTTCATTCCATCAAAAGCATCTGGGAAGTGGAACTGAAGATCAAAAACTAATGTCTGCCTGTGGAAATATATCGCTGCAAATTAAATTGGACTGTTCAGCAGACCAAGATGAGGAGTGTCATCTTGTGTCTATAAAAAAGTGTGTTGGTTATAAGCCGCAGGCCCAGAGAAGAAAGAATGTTCATCGCAATGTGGGTGTTGGAAGAAAAGTTCGAAAGTCAAAGAACCCACCTCAAAAACTATTCAATTCAAGACGGAGAGATTTTCAAGAAGAATATCAATATAAAAACAACTGTGGTAATAAATTTTACCAGAAAACTACTCAACAGATTGGTATAGCAGATAGATCTCTGAAAAATCCAATTAGACAGACTATTGTTAAAAGCAAATCATGTCAAGATGTATCGTTTAATGAAAAAGTAAATGAAAATTTGTTCTGTGAAGTTGAAGAAAGTTCAGTTGACGGGGGTACGTGTACTGCATACAGAGATTACATGTGTGACCGGGGAAGATCATTTGCTTACACCAAAGGGAAAAGTTATTCTTATCAAAACATATTACATGAAAGAAATGTAGATGAAGAATTTCTTAAGAAAAGGACCCCACGACGACGAACTATAGATACTTTCTTCATAGATGGAGAACACATATTTGCAGTCCTGACACCCGAGCAAGGCCTGTCACCTGAAAAGAGATCAAATGAAGCATCAGGATTACCTAAAATCTTATCTGACTATTCAGATAATGAGATTAGTGCAGTAGCCCCTCCAGTCGACTTGAGTAGTAGCAATTTTACTGAATACATTGACTCGTTGGACTACTCACCAGTTACACAACCTGACAGTTGTTTAAGTGACATCTCCTCCCTCTCTTCCCTACCTTTAGATAGAGTGCCTATAAGTGATGTTGATTCCCCTGCTGTGCCTGAGCGACAAGCTTCTGCAAATTCTACTTCATAACATTGAACGGAAAGCATAAAGAAGAATTAATGCATAGTGCAATTTGTAACCAAAGATAATATTTTGAGTTGCTTAATACAAGTTTATGTTTTTTGTAAACTGTATATGTACTGTCCTTGAGTTACTCATTTATTTTCAATTGTTATTGCCTTTGAAAGTTAATTAAACTTCTTGTTTCCCTGTCACTTGTGTTCTGTATTCTTCCTTTAACAAACTCTGTGTATTGTTTTAATGTTGTTTTTTTCAAATTTGTGTGTGTTTGTATTACTATTAAAAATACACTTGCATTTCTGAGATTGGTTTGGAATTAATGAAAGCATGTATTTCTTCCCATTTTCCTGAGCATGTACCAAAATCTTAAACGTGCTTCTGCTGTTGCTTTTTATTGCCAAAAACAGCAGCTTGTGAAGAGGATAAAATTTGAATTAACATGGCCCCTGCCAGAATGTTGCATGCACTAAGCACTGAATTTTGTGGTTGGTGTAGGGAAAGGACTAATGTGTCAATCTACCCAATGCTAAGAGTTAACTTTTGCAGGCGAGAACACGATGAATGGCGATGATCTTGACGCACCTCACAGCACATTTTCACAGAGCAGCAAAGAAGTAAGTAGTGCATTAAGCAAATAGGTTTATAGAAGCTGACTATATGTGTGTAATTTCATACACAGTAGTTGAAAATTTTCTAAATGAGCGAGTGATTGAAAAATGGTGAAAATATTTGACTTCTTTAAATGCTAGTCACATAAACTTGTCGGTTTTTCTCTGGTTTCCTCAGAAGCCCTTCATAAGTTTGTAAAATAAAATGGAACTGGAAGTTGGCCAAAAGACTTTGCAATGAGCCAAAGAAGAAGTTCAGACAAGGATTGCAGTTGTTGCTGGACATTTAGTAAAAGTTGATACATGCAGGCAGGATTTGTGCTTGATAAATAGTGTATTATGAAAAGAACCCTGAAGTTTTTTTTGTCTGTTTTATTTATGTCTAAATAAGTATGGATAATGATGTTTAGAGTATTTCAAAATAAGTATCTAGATGTATATTTAAATTTTCATGAAAAGTGTAATATTACATTTAACTTTGTAGGGATCTCCAACAAAGGATGTATCGACTGAAGAATCACCCAAGAAGGACAAGAAGAAGAAGAAAGGCTTGAGGACACCATCTTTCCTCAAGAAAAAGAAGGAGAAGAAGAAGCTGGCAGAAGCATAGGCTTCTGGAAGCCAGGTATGTCCTTCAGTGAATGAATGCAAAGAAAGAGAATTTTAGTAAATGTCCTGATACATTCTTTGCTGTTTCAGACACTGCCAGAAAATGTTCACCACACCAGCCACCTCCAACTGTCTGAAGAAAAAATACTGCCACTGAACACATAGCATTTAGTTGCGACGATCAACATCCGTTCCATTTGGTATAATGTGTGATAGTCGCGTGTGGTTGCCACCTGCCAAGTGGTCTGTAGTCTGATATGTTCTGGAGAAAAGTGATTGCTAAGCCTGGACTCCCCCGACTGGATTTCCTTGCAGTTTAGCTGCTAGCAATGCATGCGGGTCCGAGTCTTACATTGTTTTATTTCTGAATGAATATTCTAGCATTGTACAGTTATCAAGAAGAAATCTATATGTATATGGAGGTGTCTTAACAGGCAGCGTGATGATTTGGACATGACAGTTTAAAGCTACATGTAAAGATGCCTATGATGCTTTTTATTGTTTTTTGACAGCAAACATGGAGGCAGTAGCATTTCATGAGTTTGTTTGTGCTTCTCTGGTTCTGATTGTAGCACCAGAGGCTTCATTTTCAATGAGGCCTTGAGGAGAACCTAAGAGACCGAGAACAAGTGGGTGATCTCTGGAATCCAATGGTGCACAAAAACTGTTGCAGTATATTGTAAAAAATCTTTCAATTTTAGCTTAAGACCTGTAGTAAAAAGTGCATTGCAGGCTGTTGTATTGGTGCAGGTTCATTAGCAGAGATAAGTGTTGAATGGTGCAATAGCACTCGCTGCTTTGGAACCTTTCATAATACATGCTTGCAGTGCTGCAGGGCTTCTTTTTGTTGCTGTGTACACGATTGATGTTTGCAATATCTTTTATGGAATGACATTTTTAGGTAGTAGTGTTAAGTACCACAATGAATATTTACAAGCAGTTGAGAAGATGTGGAGCTTTGCTTTTCCAGAGTACTGAGTGCATCAACATTTTTGTGACTAGAGTGAGAGTGTATGTGATATGAACATGGCAACATGAAGATCCAAACCAAGGATGATGTGATGAACTAAGGCAATTGGCACTTCGGAACCAATCTTACATTTGTGCTTTGGTGGACGATTCTTTTGTAGTTAAGTTTTGTCAGTGATTGCAATGTTATGAACTGTTGTTTTTGTTGAAGAATTAATTGGAATTTTACTATCTTGTACAGATTACATGACTCATTCATGTTTCTAAGTTTCCTATTTTATATAATTAATCACAAGGTTCATATAATATTTTTTGAACATATTTTGTTTTTGACACAAGTGGTGCAAGGTATTGACAGTCAGCTTGTATATTTTTTTTATCAAAGGAGTTCGACAGTCACATCTACACGCACTACAATATCTCCCTCTGTGTCTTCTGTTTTAGCGTTATGTGTCTGTATTGGTGCTTGTGTTTGTTCATTTGCTTGCTTCTGGAGCCATTTGTTTGTACAAAACTAGTGGGGGGCGGGAACACTACTAAGAGCGTCATGCTCTAGCCAGGAATCACTAGCTTGCTCGCACACATCTTCATTACAAGCTCTTCATCCATAAAGAAATCGTGGTATGGCAGCTTTGAAATCTTTAACACTTTTAAATCCAGTCTTATCCATTCTTATAAACAAATAGTTACATCTCAAGTTGTCTGTGTTCTTGTCTCCAGCTAGCAGCAGGGTGCAGTGGGCAAGCTTCTGGAAGTGCACTAAGCTATGACTTGTAAAGGGAGATTCTTATTTTTGAAATATGAAATCAAGCTGAAACATTTTTGTATTCTTTTAATTATTGCGAACTGTTAAACAGTCTTTTGCTGCATGCTGTTAGTTTAAAATTTGGAGTAAATATTCCAAAATAATGCTTATAAAAGTATATATATTCTCTTCTCTGTAAGGATTGATATATTGTAATTTCAACTGTACTAATTAATTGTATTTTGGGATGAATACTTTCCTGTCTGATCTAACAGCATGCAGTTCTGTACACCCTGCAAAAGCCTGCAAACAGAAAGTCTTGTTCACATTTAAATAATTGTAAAAATGAATACAATATTAACAAGATGAAATGCTACAGAAAAATAAAACAACCTAAGGTTGCAATATCATTTCTTTCTCCAGCATTTTATCCTTCCTATCTGAGAAGTGGCATATAAATTATCCTATAATCATGTTAGGAAAAAGTGGGAGGTTTAAAACTGGAACTTTTGGCAAGAGATAAGATTCTCAAAGAAGGGTGTGGGTTGTTTTTTATTTATTTACTTTTTGAATCATTGAACTATTGGCTGATGCTGAGCTCTGAGTTAAGATTATGAAGTTTTCATTAGTAATTTTATTAATTACCATTTCTGCAGTGAACAGTAATCAATGTAAAAGTACATAAATGAACTAAAAAATTGTAATAATGTAAGGTCAGGACTTGCTTAATTAAAAACTAGCTGCAGCTTGCCACACTTTAGGAACATCATTCCAATATAAACTCCAATAAATCAAATTAAAGATTATACCATTAAGTTTTCAAAGCACAAGATAAATAGAAACAAATACTTTGCCTAAACTAGTATTTACTTAGATTTTGTCTTCATGGAATGAAAAACTGATTGAATTTTTGTGGAATTTGAGGAATGTTTTCTACAATCAAAATGATGAATTGCATGGTGTTTTCAAAACTGACATTTGACAAATCATTGTTAGCATACCAACTTTCTATGCAAGTAATTGTTACAGCTGAAAAATATGCTCATTATGTACACATTGATTAGTGGTAAGACACTAACTAGTGGTCTAACTAGGGAAGTAACAGATCCTCCATGTCAAAACACCCCTTGAAATTTTTATGACACACGCACTGCACTATCAGAATCCCCATATCCAAAATATTTGCTGCCAGTTTACACTGCAAGGCCTGCAGATTAAAGCATTAAAAAAACACACAAAATAACTAGGAAAATGAGTGGAGCATTCTGAGGAATCAACCCTCAATGTACGTGAAGGAAGTGTTTGTGAATCAAGTGATAGTGACAGTGATAAAGACTGAGACAAGCATACTTCTACCTCGAGTGATGATACGGGCAAGTGTTTATTAGAATCGTACAGCGAATCCCTGGAAACTAGTGATTCTAAATGTTAGTCGCTCTGCAAATCCTTCGATTCACTTTATCCAAGTTCTGTGAAAAAAAACAAGTTCTGTGAACCAAAAGGATTTTTCGGACCTGTAGTCTTCAAAAGAATGTTTCAAGCCGAAAACCCAATTATTACTGCTACAAAATCAAGAATTATGGGAATATGCAAATAAATTGTCTCACAAGAGCATAAACGTCAAAGTTTCCGATATGGATTCAATTGCAATCCTTAATTCGTTTTATATTTTTATCTCCGTTTCCGGAATACGATAAAGCATTCTTGATTTGCTTCAAAGTACACAACAGCGGCCTCCTGAATTTGTAATGCCCGTCAAATATTGCCTTAAAACTACGACAAACTAATGTGAAGAAGAATGTGACAATGAAGTTTGTATTCGTTGTGCGTGGTGTCAAAAACAATCATGTTTCAATCATCCAGTGAAAACCGGTCGTGTCTGCTTTTTATTCATGCCGTATTAACTTGCGACGAGACAGCTCCTGGCTTTCGCATGCCCGCCCGTTGGCTCTGTGGCCCGCGTGATCGGCCGTCTGCCGGTCCCGCTCGATGCTAGTAGGGATGTCCAGCGGCGCCGCCAGATTTCATTGCTAGCTAAGATTTGAGCTTCAATTGTAGACCTTTGCATTGGAAACTGGCAGCTAATATTTTGGATATAGGATTCTGATAGTGCATTGCGTGTCATAAACATTCAGAGGGGTGTTTCGACATGAAGGATGTTACTTCCCTTGAAAGGAAGAAACAAGGAAAATATATCCCTTGAACTTTTTATTTAAATTAGTATTAAAACTCCAATATAATTTTGGAAACTAAAGTTTTCCAAACAAAGTTTTTTTTAGTTATTGATAAGCAAAGATTGTTTTTATTTCATTTGTTGATTCACCTTCCTGGGGTTAAATATTTAATTCACAGGTTGTATTGCAGGTTTTATTTACAAGGTAAATAGTTACTAAAAGATAATTTTTAAAAAATGTCTAAATAAATCTGACAAAAACATTTAAATGATTCTAGCAAAGCTTCATGTAATTGCACTGTGTAATCAGTGATGTATCCCAAGTCCAATGTCACATGGGGTGGATAAGCATGGCGTACAGCTCCCTGTCGCACTGATTCTATACACTTGTGCCAATAGCCGAACTTCTTAACTAAACACTGTAAAGTTGGGAATTTTAGCAGATCAAAACACCACAGGTCTGTGGATGGGTGACAGTCCAGGAACTGGATACTAACAGCACTGAACCCTTCGCTGTTAGGGGATAAAAGGCAACTACTTACAACTTAGTGTATGACTTGATGTTCGAGGAGGACTATTCCATCTTCAATGCCAAAAAGGTTTGCAAAGAAGTTACGCATGTAACAGAAATTTTAAAATAGTAATTCATTCTGTAAGTGGCTGATAAGTGATATCAGTGGCTAAGTTGTTGTTTGCTACTGGGGCAATGTTGATGGTTACCTGCCCTCCCACTTCAATACAGCCATTAGTAAAAGTATTTTTTTTAAGGCATGCCTAGTGTAATGAAAATAAATCTGAATGCAACAAAGAAAACTTAAATACATTCATTTCACTGCATCGAAAACTACAGGATAATGTATAATTAAGTGATTTGGGTACTTAAATTAAATCAGTCTGAAGCTCTTTAAAAAATACTGTATTACACTTGTAAAAGTGAAATAGGATTGCGCAACTCTGCCTTTCGGTCTCCATATTTCCTACTTCCAAATTAAGGTCACTTTTACCACTAGCATAAATATTGAAAACGACAATATTATTATTAGTATGTTTTAAGTTTATGCAACTATTTTATAATGTTAAGCTTTATTGCACAGTATACGTTTTGAAAAAGAGCGACGTTAGCGAGTTTTCAAATTTCTACGAATACAATAAAGCAACATTAACGAGTTGCATACGCTGAGGGTATAACGCCAAATTTGTGAGACAACTTTGTGATGTCTCGGGTAGTTGACATTATGCGACAAAACTGGTTGGCTGTTACATTTACTGCTTGTAGAGGCCTCTACACATAGGCCAATTAGTCGGGACGACGAAATTGGACTCTCGCATACACAGTCCGATCAACCCGATTTTGCAGAAATGCTCGGAATTTTGAGAAGATAACGTTATGCGAGCTAAGTGATTCCCAAACTCGAAAATTTGTCAAACTGAAATAAAAATCCTATTTAGGGCTGTATGTGTTCAGAATAGTTTACCCACATAATAATAGAGTTAAAATGCAGGTGATGAACACTCGCTTTCATTGCATTTGCGATCGTGGAGATCCATCCACGAAAAAAAAGAAGAGTTGCAGTATACCAGATCCATGATACGAATGCAGTATACCGAATCCATGGTTGCAAATTTTCGTACTGTACCAAGTTCTCTTGTTACAATATCATGGATCTGGTATACTGCAACTGCTCTTTTTTCTTTTTTTTCAGTTTGTTGCTTTTATATGTACCAACATCCATTTTTATAGAGAGATGAAAAATAGATAAGTCGTAACTTGAAACTTCAAATTATAATTTTGACCATTCAAATGGTGAGTGTCTAAAGTTTGGTGAACAAGAAATCTGTACTTCTATGGGTAAATATGTGCTTCTACTAGGAACATATTTTTCTTGAATGTTGACGTATCATTAATACAAAGTGGTTTATGGTCGTAAATTATATAAATACAAAAAATAAAATTAATTTTAGGAAATTCTAGTTATCTATTGTGAGCCGCGGCCGATCCAACTGAGCAGAAACCAAACGGATCGTATGAATGGATACGCATGAAATAAACAGCTATTATAAGATAGCTTTATGCAAATTTATTAGAGAAATGGCACACAGTTCATAAATACATCTCTCTCATGCCTTGCACCATAGCCCAGAACGAATCTCAATGCTGTCTGGCAATCTTGTCGGACGTACTCGGAAGTACTCGGCCCGGTGCTTAGCGATGTCCTCGGGCCAGTCGAAGGGTCCGCCAGCTGGATTCAATATTTTTCATGTGAATCCCAGTTATAGGTATTCACAAAGTGAAGTGATTGAGTCACTGCCCCCGTAAATAAAGATTTTTTCATCCTGCTAGCCGTAGCCTCCCCAGAAGTCCGTGAAAATTATGGAGTCGGGTTCTATATGCTGAGTAATCAATTGCAATAATGTTGCTGAATCCCTTACATTATTGGAGCACACTTCCGGGTGCACTTCGCTCGTTTCCTGGTCAATCATTACCAGAACCACTGTCGTCATGTCATACGACCACGATTTCCTGGGGCCAATCTTGCGTTCGTCTCTTTCAATCATATGATTTTCGGTTGCACCGATTCAAGCTGTCCAAACACACTTCCTTATCGACTGAAACAACTCTGCGACTGTGGAGTCCGCAACATTGCCCCTTAAGCACTCGCGACTCGTTCAGCCGGGTCTCCAATCACAAAACAGTACAGTAGCACCACAGTCTAATAACAGTTCTGCAGCTCTGTGCTTTTTCCCTATGCTGCAAACGGGCTTTACTGACAGATGTAGCATCACTAGCGCTCCAAGTGGTAAGCGGGTCAAGCCCTCGTACCATAGCTTATAAATGCTAGATCAAAAATTTGACTAATTAAATTATTTTGAAAACCTAATTCACATTCTAGTCCAATTTTATCATTTGCTGTTAATTAATAAAGTATAAAAACCTGAAAACAAATTAATATTCTTTACAATTTCTTCCAAGGTCGGCAGAGCGAGATCTGATATTTGACGTTTCAGAAAGGATTTCTTTACATTTTGTGGTTTTACATATTCCAGAATGTGAAAATTACATGAACATTTGGGTTTTCTTCTGAACCGTTATGTACAGTTGTACTAAGAAACAAGAAAGGAAGATGTATATACAATTACACGAAACACATACATGCATATATATATATATATATATATATATATATATATATATATATATATATATATATATATATAAAGTTACATTTATTATCAATTATTATATTTTAGGGATTACTTCGGTGTTATAACACTATTACAGTAATTACATTAGTGGAAGCAAGTTTATTTACTGTAACCAGGAACACCATGAGGAGGTTTCTCGTTCCCTTAAGGACTACACAGGGGCCAATTGGCCGGACCGACCACCGGGGCAACGAAATTGAACTCTCACGTAGGTGCAGGTGAAGAACATATCTTTTGTTATTTCTTTTCAGAGTGTTAACCACGTGCAACCGTGTTCTATTACGGCAACACGAATACGATCAAGTTATTGACATTTTTGACAAAGTTTTGTAGAAATAGAACACGAGTTAAAAACGATTTAGTCCAAATGAGTTTGTTAGTTACTGACGCGAAAAAAATGAATGAGAAATTCTTGGTGTGTGTGTGTGTGTGGGGGAGGGGGACACAACAAACAAACATGTGTTGTAGTACACAATTTACGCTCAAATTTGCAATTTTCTTGTTTAGTATACTAAGTATTACCTTTCAAAATGACATAAGCTGCAACCTCACTGCTGGCATGTGTTTGAATTAAGGAGTTTTTAAGCCGTTTAATAATGTATTTACTAATAATATTTTACGTAATTGCTACAATTATAAATAAAAAATATACTTTCCTACATTTTGCTTTCATTCCAATAATTATTGTCAAAATTATCTTAATTATCGATGTTAAAAAGAAATTTTCATTTTGTTTTGTTTATTTTTCTGCCAAATTTGATCGGTAATTTTATTTCTTGAAATTTCGACTTCATACTCGGAATCGCGACCTCCAAAATCCGTAAGTACCAAAGAATATTCTAATTAAACAACTGTTTCACAGTTGAACCAACGTTCTCTAGGATCTCTATAAGTTGGCCCAGCACTTTAACGCACTACACAATTTGTTCGGCAGTATGGTGGGGGAATCGGCGGTCGTGTGGTCAGGACCAACTAACCAACCGCCGGAGAAAGATTTCTGTTGGAGAACTTGCCTCCACACGATTCAATTTGTTGGATTGACTGGCAGGTCGACCCGATAAATTGGTACGTGTGTAGGAGCCTTTACACAGAACATTCAACATTCATATTCAACATACATATTCAGATTACCCCACAAATAAACAAAGGCGATAATTACTATGTGTACACAAATATTTTCATACATTTCAAATTTCTAACGTTTTCCTTTGCGCCATATGTACAATAATGAGACAATAATATTAATAATTAGCATCCTAAATTAGTCACAATTAAATATTTCCTATTTATCTTCGGAAATTGCGCAAGCTGAGAATTAACTGGCTTATCTCGAAATGTTTCGCATATATCCTAAAGTTACCAGGAACAGAAACAACAGATATATATAACAGCTTACTAGCCGCTTAGAGGCGCGAGGTTCAAAAATTCGCTCAAAACTGCGGCACTGTTGTTAGACTGGTAGCACTGACAAATGACAAACAGCAAGGCGCGCATAAAAAAAAAGTGGAGCGAGGCGGCCGCTCTAAACTGTCTATATCCATGACTACCAGTGTTCGTTTTCTGCCGCGAAATTATTACGAAGGAATCATTACCAATTCGAGCATTGAGCTTCGTAGAACAGGGTACTGCATAACAGACGGAACAGATTTTCTTGTACTACGCAGTCCACATCAGTCTGTTCCGTCAAAATAATATTATCGCAGCTGTCGTCGCCGATGGCTGCGGTAAATTAATTCTCAGCATTTTTGAAACTCAACACTGAAAAAATTGA